TGGATAGGACAGTATTTTTTAAGGATAAATTTCTTTTCTCTGTTTCATGCTTTAGCCCTAAATGTAACTATATGTAAATAAATAAATAAATAAATAAACGGAGAGGGAGAATTTAACATTCTCTACCGAGGTATGAAATTTATATAGGGTAATATGTTATATAATACATGATAATGTATCTTGTTGCACTCCAGAAATGTTGGAAAGATTCCGATAAAAGCATTTATGTTTTCAAACGATTTGTTTGTCTTAGCTGATCATGAGAAGGATATTTAAGATGAATAAAACGCCATGTTAAAAACAGTCATAGTGATCCTTCCTCATGCGCACATAACTAAATGAAATTGAAAGGTTAGGTCTTGTAAGTTAAACTGAAAGGCATATTCATACCGAAAGTCATAGCAATCACGCATGATGCCTTCCCTGAAAACGTACTGGACCACCTGGGTGGAGAAGTAGCAATGCCTAGAGGGAAATGTGTGAGGGGATAAACGCTAACAAAATATCTCGCCGGTGAATTCGGACAAGAACCAGATTATTATTGATTGTGTCTCCTTTCTCATTTGAAAGGAGGGAGACAGAAACCAAAAAATGCGTCATTCAGACAGGCGTTTTTGAAAGTTTTATGAAAATTAAACAATTAGATACACAAGGTAATTTAAAGAAGTCGATTCTAAAATAAAATAAACGTGTAAACTAGGGGTCTTCAACCTTTCACGCCTGAGAGCCACATCAATAAATTCACAAAGATCCGCCGGCCAAATGTCTGTCAAAAAAATAGTGTAGTCAGAAAATTTATAAAAAAAAAAAAAAGGGAGGTTGTTTTGCAAGACTACAATTGATTCTAGGAGAAGAGATAGTGTGACAGATTTGTATATATATGTATAGTTCCAAAAAGTCAAATGAAAATCGAATTAAAATGTTTTGCAACTTTTTTTAACTATGGAAAAAAAAGCATAAAGATGATTGTACAGAATGATGTTACAAAATGCATTTACAATTAAAAAAAAGAAAAAAATCTTACGATAGATGGTAGTTACTTTAGTTTTAATGTGAAATTTGACATTGTTTTTGCTTGATTAAAGCCTCAGTATCCGATTTAATCTGCTTTGTTGCAGTTCGTAAAGTTTCCTCCAAATGTCTGTGTGTTAGCTGTGTTCTTGTTTTTGATATTTAGGATTTTCATTTTACTAAAAAGCTGTGCACATATGTATGTACTTCTTAGGTAGAAGACACGAAGAGTGCATGTTTACGAATTCCTGCATACTTGTCTTCTATCACGTACTTCGAATAAAAATAAATTAATATAGGATTTTTAAGAAACTTGCATTTTACTGCAGTCACACTGAAAATCTATAAATTCTAATTGAAGTTCAGGTGGAACTCTTCCATCGTTCCTTTCATTTTCGCGAAAATCGGAAAATCTGCTTTTGAATTCCTCTTTCAAATTTGAAATACATTGTACATAATTATTTGAATTAAATGCTGCAGAGTTCTTCACATACTCCATCAATTTTCGAAAGTGAGTGGAATTCTAATTTAGCAACTGACTTTCTCACAGAATTAATTTTGTTTCAAAAGCTTTCACAAAGTAATAAAGATTATGAACAAATAGATCTTTTTTCAGTAAGCGGTAGTTCAAATCATTGTGATGACATGTAGTATCGCAAGAAATGCAAAGTTTCTCAACCATTTCTCATCACTGAACTCGTAAATAGATTTCCCTTTAAATTCCATTAATTGTTGAACTTCGCTCTTCAAAGAAAACAGGCGCTCAAGCATGTTTCCTCGACTCAACCAACGTAATTGTGCGTAATACACATCACCATATTCAGCTTCCAAATCGCTCAAGATGGTGTTGGTGTTGGTGTATTTAATTATGGCAAAGCACACGAGGGCTATCTGCCTAAGGGGAGGGATGCCTTTCGTGGAGGACTTTCTAAGGGAAACTGGCTCGTATACACGTTACACATGGGGAAAACCACGAAAACGCCCATGCAGCCAGCCCGTTCGCGGGATTCGAACCTCGGACCGAACTACCAGTGTTCAGCGACTTTACCGCTCGGCCGCTGGTGGGCCCCAAATCGCTCAAGAACTGTTGAAGTTTCCTGTGATAAAGGTCCTTTAGACCGAATGAAATTAAACACTTTTACAAGAACATTTATCACATGTTCAAAGTTTGAGAAGGACTTCTTGTACAAATTTTCTAGGTGGATGCAGTGGAAAATCATCATAGTATTATTTCCACTTGCCTTCACATCAGATGTGAGTAACGTCGTTACTCCTGTTTTCTCTCCAGTCATAGATTTAGCACCATCCGTGGTTATAGCAGATATATTACTGAAGTCAACATTACATTTATCCGAAGTTTGTGTCAGACTCGAATACAAATCGGTTCCTCGTGTTGTACCTTTAAGTGCAACGACACTGGCTAATTCCTCTACAATTATTCAACGCCACGAATAAAAATGACTACTTGTGCAGTATCTGTTGCATCTGTTGATTCATCCATCGCTACAGAATAAAGCTCAATTTTTTTTAAAATTTGGATTTTAGTTTACTGAACATATTTATTGCGAGATCCTTTATGCGCCTCGCTACTGTTACACCAGACAAGCTAATATTGGATATGACTTGAGCACATCAACTACACTCTGAAGACATTATTTTGCAAATTCTCCCTAAGCAAAGGGTTTTCCAAGCTTAGCAATTTTGTATGCTATCATGTAACTAACACGAATACTATTTTATTTTCAGAAGAACTATTGAAAGAACTATTGGAAGATTGTTGAAAATTTAGTTTTGATTTTAATTCACTCACCTTATCACTTCGAAAATGACCTTCCAATGCAGAATATTTCTCACTGCGCTTAGTATCATAATGTCTCTTAATGTTGCATTCCTTCATCACAGCTACACTGTCGTTGCAAATAAGGCAAACTGCCTAAAATTCGTCATTTCCAGAAAATTTTATCTCAAATATCAGGCATGTCAAAAAATATTTTAAATATCAAGAATAAGAGAAAAAAAGTTTTTTTACGACAAACAACTGACAAGGCAATTTTCTTGAAATCAAAATTTCTTAAAATTCTCTAGTTTTTCTTCAGATTTAAATGTAGGGCCATTAAAATGCCTTCAGCGGGCAACTCGTGGCCCTCGGACCACGGGTTGAAGACCTCTAGTGTAAACTAAAGCCCAGGTTCAAATTAAACTAAAATTCAGGTTTATAAGTCTTGCAATGTGCGTAATAATGCTTCGCACGTATGATGTCGCGCTTCAAAATTATTTAGATGGCTTCTAAAACATATGGCAAAACTGATTTTAAGTCAGTTCAGAATAAGCACCTGAAATTAATTTCCTATAGCATATAGAAACAAAAGGTTTTCTATCATTGTTCGCGCCTTATGTAAATTTTGATTTTGTTCCCTGCAAGAGGGCGCCTGCGAGCGCCGAACTACTTGTATATCTATTGTACGAACTTGTTCTTCACACAGTCTAATAAACGCAGTAACGAACGTTTGAGTCTACTTTCCATCCGCTAACATGGTCCGTCGTGAGCCAGCGCATTTCTTTGGATGATGTGTCAAGACAATTTTTAACGTTCTGGTATAGAAGGACATTTCGTGCAGGGAAAACGGATTTATATTTTGTCTGGATTGTGAAAACAGCGGCAGGAATATGGAGTCAATTTCAAAGCAAAAGCGTATCATTAAGGGTAAGTTGACTCGTTTAATTTCACAAGTAAATGGTTTACAAAATCAAGAAGATTCTTTTTCTGCCATTGAAGTGTACGAAAATGATGTTGGTGCATTAAGTGTTGAAGTGAACTGTTTAAACGATAACATTCTTGGTACTTGTTCTGATGCAGAGTTTAGTAAATATGAAATAGAAATGAATGAACTATTTTCCAAATTAGATGCATTAAAAATTACTTTAAAGGAAGAATCAAGAAAACTTAGAAATTCAGGCAAAGATATAATAAATGCTAATGCAAACGGCTTGAAACTTCCTCGCGTGGAATTGCCAGTGTTTACTTCTAATTATGTTGATTGGATATCATTCAGGGATTTATTTCTTGCCAGTGTTGGAAATAATAGTACATTAAGTGACAGTCAAAAATTGCAATATCTTAAGCTTTCTGTGAAAGGTGAAGCTGCTGTTTTACTACAGTCAGTTCAAATTTCAAACGCGAATTATGAAAAGGCATGGGAAGCGCTTACTGAACGTTATGAAAACGAAATAGAAATAATAAACGCAGCATTAAATAAATTAACTTCACAACCTGTCCTAAAACATGAATCAGCTTCAAGTTTGCGGAGATTAATTGATACAACACAACAGTGTATTGATACATTAAAAATCCTTAAACAGCCGGTAGAGCATTGGGATACTATGATTATTTTTCTGTTAAAAGGGAAACTTGATCATGAAACACTAAAAGAGTGGACGATAGAGCATTCGAACAAGAAAATTTCTGCTTTCGCTGAATTCAAGCGTTTTGTTTTAAACAGAGCGAATGCTATTGCCTCTTTGGCGGGGTGCCAGAGGGAGAAGTCAATTTTGCCTTCTGAAATTAAAACTCGCGGTTCAGGTAGCAGATACGCTTTTTCGTCCCAACTTGTGGCTAATGTGTGCGTTCATTGTAAGAGTAATTCTCATTCTCAGTTATTTAAATGTGATAGTTTTTTAGAACTCCCTATCAAAGAAAAATGGGATATTATTAAAAGGAATGAATTATGTGCTAATTGTTTGAAAGATAGTAAAACGCATCCCATTTTTAAATGTCGTGCAGGAATGTGTAAATATTGTTCAAAGCCACATAATACAGTGTTATGTTCGAAAAATTCAAATGATGAAAAATGTCATATACCCATGGAACACGGAACTTCTGCTATTAGTAGCAATAACGCCACGGTGCCTGTTGCGCAAGCAGTTTTATTTTATTGCCTACTGCGGTTGTTTATGTTAAAGATATTAATGGCGATTTACAAAAATGCAGGATGCTAATTGATTCAGGTAGCCAGGGCTCATTTATTCGAGAGCACTGTGTAAATTTACTGCAGCTAAAGCGCACTAGTGCAAACGTAAGTGTAAATGGCCTGAGCTCGCAAAAAATTGGAAAGGTTTCAGGTTCAGTTCAATTACAAGTAACATCTCCATTTTATAAAAACGCAAGCATTTCAGTAAATGCATTAATTATACCCAAGATCACGTGTGACCTTCCTCAATATCAAGTTGATAGATCTGTTTTGACATCTTTCAAACATTTGTGGTTGGCAGATACAAATTGTTTCCAGCCTGGCCCAATAGATATTCTTTTGGGCGCAGATGTATTTGGCGAGATAATGCTTCATGGACGTTTAACTGTTCCGGGTCATTCGTTAACAACCTTGGAATCAATATTCGGCTGGGTTATTATCGGAAAGACTAAAAGTGTATCACAGACAATTGTATCGAATCATGCTAGTTGTACCAATGTTCAGCTCCAGCTTGAAAAATTTTGGAAATTGGAAGAAATTTCGGAGATAAAGCATTACACAGAAGAGGAAATTGAATGTGAAAATCATTTCAAGCGGAATTTTTCTCGTGTTTCAACAGGTAGATTTGTTGTTAAGTTTCCATTTCGTAGATCGGGAAATGAACTTGGGTCATCAAGGGATGTTGCTGTACATCGTTTACATCGTTTACAAAGCATTGAACGTCAATTTATTAAGAATAAATCTCTTTCCAGTCAATATCACAAATTTATGGAGGACTATCAACAACTTGGTCATATGGAATTGATTCCAGAAAATGAAATTGATGTTCCAGCTAATTCTAGTTTTTACCTTCCGCACCATTCAGTTCCAGATAAAAATGGTGATAAGTTTCGAGTCGTATTTGATGGTTCTGCAAAATCTTCTAGCGGTATTTCTCTTAATGAGAAATTGATGGTTGGTCCACAGTTGCAGACTGATCTGACAACATTAATTATTCGTTTCAGAATTCACAGAATAGCTATAACTGCAGATATAGAGAAAATGTACAGACAAATTATACTAAAAGATGCAGACTTTCAGAGAATAGTCTGGCGCGATTCACTTTATAAACCAATTCAGGATTTTCAATTAACTAGGATTGCTTACGGTACTGCATCAGCTTCGTACCTTGCGGTAAGATGTTTACAGCAGTTAGCCATAGATGAAGCAACTAATTTTCCTTTGGCTTCCAAGACATGTCTTAGGGACTTCTACGTTGATGATTTGATGTCCGGAGCCAATTCAGTTACTGAAGCTATAGAATTACAAATGCAATTGAATCAGATGTTGTCACGTGCAGGATTTATTCTAAGAAAATGGGCTTCTAACAGCAAAGAAGTCTTGAATTCAATTAATCCAGATTTGTGCTTATCAAATGTTTCTTTGAACATAGACAATGATGATACTGTAAAAACGTTAGGTATCCTGTGGCATCCAGCTTCAGATATGTTTTTATTCAAAGTCAATTCATCATATTCTGAAGTCTTAACCAAACGAACATTACTTTCAATAATCGCAAAGACCTTTGACCCTCTTGGATGGTTGGCACCGATCACGGTTCGGTATAAATTGATTATGCAAAGATTGTGGAAACATCAGTTTCAGTGGGATGAAAAGGTTCCTCCAGATATTGAATGTGAGTGGAAACAACTTACAGAAGATTTGTTATTCATTAAAAGTATCAAAATTTCACGATTCTTGTTGGTTGAATCAGATAACCAGTTTCAACTGCACGGGTTTTGTGACGCCTCAGAGAAGGCCTACGCCGCTGCAATTTATTATCGTTCTGTGCTAGATGCTGGACAAATTAATGTTCAGTTAGTGATAGCCAAAACAAGAGTTGCACCACTAAAAACCATATCACTTCCCCGATTGGAACTTTGTGGAGCATTACTGTTGACTAAATTAATGGATTTCACCTGTAGGGCTTTAAATACTCCTATATCGCAAGTTTATTTTCATACTGATTCCACTATTGTATTAGCCTGGATAAGATCTCATGCAAGCCGATGGAAGACCTTCGTCGCCAACAGAGTAGCAAAAATCCAGACTTTATCCTCTCCTGTCCAGTGGCATCATGTGAGTAGAAATGCTAATCCTGCTGATCTTGCAACCCGTGGTGTGTCATCATCTGCACTGGTTACTTCATTGTGGTTACGTGGTCCAGATTTATTGTATAATTTATTTCCTTTTCAGCAAGCATTATCTGCACCACTACTGGATGATTCTGTGCCAGAGCAAAGATGTGCTTTACAGTCTACAACTGCTGCCAGTCACTTGACAGACGCTCATGATTTATTTTATAAATATTCCTCTCTCACTAAACTTAAACGTGTTGTAGCATTATGTCTGAGGTTTGTAAATAACTGTAAAAATTCAGAAGATCAGGTAAGTGGATTTCTAAAAACAAGTGAATTAACTAAAGCTATGCATGTGTTAATTAAATTAATGCAATATTTGAATTTAAGAATGAAATTAACACTTTAGGCAGAAATCAATCATTATCTGGTACAAGCAAAATTTTATCTTTGAATCCATTTTTAGATAATTTAGGTATTCTCAGGGTGGGCGGTCGCTTGCGACATGCAAACCTTGCATATGGTTTTAGGCATCCAATTTTGCTTCCAAAGAAGCACATTTTAACTCATCTCATTGTTAGACATTACCATGAAAGACTTTTGCATGCAGGTCCACAACTTATGCAATCTTGCATTCAAGAACAACATTGGATCATAAATGGTAGAGCTGTTATCAGAGATTTAGTTAGGAAATGTATAAAGTGTTGCAAAATTAGAGCATCTGTCACTAATCAATTGATGAGCGATTTGCCGTCTAGTCGCGTTTCGCCTGCTCCTGCGTTTTTGCGCTGTGGAGTGGATTACGCAGGTCCTTTTCAAATTAAAGCAAATAAGGGTCGAGGCTCTGGGTCATTCAAGGCATATATAGCTCTATTTGTTTGTTTTACGACAAGAGCTATTCACCTAGAATTAGTGACTGATCTTTCAGCAGATGCTTTTATTGCAGCTCTTAAGAGGTTCATTTCCCGCAGAGGCAAAAGCAGTGATATACATAGCGATTGTGGTTCCAATTTTGTTGGAGCAAAACGCAAACTGATGGAATTTGAAAGGCTTGCTAGGTCTGCAACTTATAACCAAAATGTTAGCAGATATTTGGTTGATAATGGCATTAAATGGCATCTAAACGTTCCAGGTGCGCCACATATGGGTGGACTCTGGGAAGCTGGCATAAAATCAACAAAATACCATTTAAAAAAAAACGAGTAGTTGGTGAGGCGAGATTGACATATGAAGAATTTGAAACATTTCTCACACAAATAGAAGCTTGTCTTAATTCGCGACCTTTAACAAGTTTGTCTAATGATCCAAATGACTTGTCAGCATAAACGCCTGGTCATTTTCTTATTGGTAGATCATTAACAAGCATTCCTGAACCAAATTACATTGAAGTTTTCCATCTCACTAGATGGCAACATATTCAAAAAATGGTTCAACAATTTTGGAAACGTTGGCACAAAGAATATCTGTGTCGATTACAACAAAGACCAAAATGGCTTTTGCCAACTAAAAATCTTTAAGTTAATGATCTGTGTCTCATAAAGGAGGATAACTTACCTCCAACTAAATGGAAAATAGGTAGAATTACTCAGTTACATCCTGGTCTTCATAGTGTTGTTAGGGTTGTGACTATTAAGACTTCAGATGGCATGGTTAAAAGAAATATTACAAAATTGTGTCTATTACCAATTTGAGTTTTAATTCATGTATTATAAATTAAGTATTATATCATAATTTTAATATTGTATTGTGTTTTAAATTTACTGAATTTTAATCACTAAATGTTGAAATAGTATTTCAAGGTGGGCGGCATGTTCGCGCCTTACGTAAATTTTGATTTTGTTCCCTGCAAGAGGGCGCCTGCGAGCGCCGAACTACTTGTATATCTATTGTACGAACTTGTTCTTCACACAGTCTAATAAACGCAGTAACGAACGTTTGAGTCTACTTTCCATCCGCTAGCAATCATAGCAACTGTTGAAAATGACTTTGCTCGAATGGGCAAAAAAATCCTGACAACAAGGCAGGATAAACAATTCGAGGTAAAAGATTTCTTACGAGATTTATAACTTATTTCAGAGTCAGTTTGCTTGTACCAAGTACTGTGAATAGGCAACTGTAGCACACCTCATTGGAAAAAAAAAAAAAAAAAAACACCTTCCCCCCTTTTCCAGAAGACCTCTTCGAGATTTTATTCTTTTCATTTCGTGGATTTGATGTCTTGGAAAAATAGAAAGAATTGCTACTCGAAGGAAATACTCGTTGCAAACCTTGTGAGCAAGCGATCCAGAAGACAGATTGTTGAATGTTAAGTCTTTCTTTTATTAAGTAAGTGCACAAGTCCCTATTTGTGTAATTTACAATGACCTAACATTTTAGCGATTTTTTCCCCTTATCATCTGGCTCAGCTATTTTGAACAACTCACTTTAATTACAAGATTTTATATTTTATGTCTTTTATTTTTTAGGATCTAATTCTTAAACTAGTAGGCCTATTGTAACTGCTAACCTCTAAATTGTTTCATGCGCTAAACTTAAATCAGCAAGGCGAAGGCAGTTTGCACTTTCTTTTTCATCTTAGGATATAAAAATTCATATATATAGAGAGAGATTAGATTTAATACGCCATTTGCCATTTGAATAGTAGTGAGATTCAAGCGGTTGGCACCAGTTCGGCAGAACCGGTTGGTGAAATTGAATTTTAACATTTATTTAGGCAATTTATTGCTATTTGGGAGCTAATTGCTTGTCTGGGCAGTGAAATGGTTCTTAAAATTTTTGAATCCCTCCAGAGGGCTTCAATTAATAAGGCGGAGTGAAATTCACATGCAATTCATATTCATATAGAATTCTCTTAATTTTTTGGCAAAGTATTAAAAAAAAGAAGAAACAAACTTTCAAAAGAAAAAGTTAGTAATTTATTATACTAAATATACGGAATGAATTCTGAACAGAACTTTTAATATGATTAATATTTCTGCTTAGTTAAATAATTTTGTTCACATATTTTTTTTTCGATCAAATATTGCAGTCAACAGGCTGAATTCACGACCACTAGTAGTGGGTCATCCTGGTTCTATTTTCATCAATTGAATGACCTGGCTGCACGAGGTTTATGCGGTTTCTTTATCTGTTATTCAACTACGTAGTATTTTCCCTTAATAATTCCTACAGGAAGGCATCTCTTCCTTAGGCAGAAAACCAATATTTTTCTGCCATAATCAGTTAATCCGTCAAGTTTTATATGATATTTTATGACGTACATGTTGGTTCTTCTATGTAAGGACTGCTTAAAGTCAAGAAGGATTTCATTATCTATGACTCGTTCTTTGAAACTCTCGAAGGAAAAAGCACAAATGCTTAAACGTTATTGTCATTGTACACTAATGTTTATGTACATCGTTGTTCAATAAGGCAACAGAGTATTATTCTGTAAATATTGTACAACAGTGTCTCTATCTTTCAGAACCATTTAAGCCTCCTGAATCCTAGAGACAAAGAAATGTCAGCACCTTATATTAGCATGCTCAGATTGCTAAATACAACGAATTTGATAATGAAAATGTCGAAATATAACTTTCTGTTATCAGTGCAAAATTTTAATTGCCAGCATTTAAATTTAATCATTATAAGATTTTCATTTTGCATAAATGACATATTACGTAGGTTGAGTTTATTAAATGCTGAGAATACTGTGTATCTCCGCATAAAAATACTGGAATTAGTGTCTTCAAAATATAACTGCAAAAATCAGAAAAAATCAGAAGAAAGGCAGATGACCAAGTATGCGTATCAGATACTTGCTATATTACTTATTTGTTTTATTAAATATTACCCTGCCTAAATACAATCGAATCTAGATTTAACAAATCTCCCAGTACTAGCAATGAAATTCCTTACATCGGGAGACATTAAAAAAGACACACAAATATGCAATGAAAAGAAAATTTATGCTCTTATATTAATACAATGGATGGATAAATAGTGGAAATAAGGGTGCACAATTTTAAAAGGCATGTTACGCCGAACACATGCTAAGGATATATGATATGATAATGATAATATAATACTTTATTGAGAATTCAAAGTAATGGTGAACAGTTGAATTAAAGGCCTCAACATGAATGCAATTATAAAACTAGGTAAAATCTCAAAATATGAAGTGTGAATTAAAATACACTGTATACCTCCTGAGCTACATTAAAATGAAGCTAGACTAAATGATAAAATCAAGTGTTTTAAAAATCCTAAAAGCATTAAAATTTACCTTTTTTTTTCCCAATTAAATGATCAAGTGTCACACAAGGTTCACCAAAGTACTTCAACCGAAGTTTGTCAAAACATGAACAGTCCATTAAAATGTTAAGGCTAGATAAAACCTCATTAGAACCTGAATAAACTCTCAGACCTTAAAAGATAACTCTGTGTAACTCGAGAGTGACTATTTAAGCCGAGTTAAAAGGACTTCCTCTTTCCGGTTTCTAACAGCTTCCCAATATTCCTCTAGGTTTCATACTTCTCAGCTTATTATGAAGCTTAACATCCTTATTAAATTAGCTGCCATTTATTGAAGACTCTTTCTTTCATTTGATTCAGATTTTGATAGCTCAGATTTTGATAATCTGGTATCCACAGCTCCTTAAATTTAAATTAATTTCATAACTTTGTAGAGTTGCGCAACTCCAACTTGCACGCAACCAAGAGGTGACTGTTGAAACTGGAAAAATGACAGAGTCTTGCTAAGGGTTTAAGTACCTTTTTATTCAACTTAAGAAGTTACAATTGCGTGCTCTTGACGCTCACAAACTACACCGACCCGGCGGTAAAAAAAAATAAGAACCTGAAAAGGAATAATAACAAGACTCTAACTACGAGGCTCTCTAAAAGAAACTAACCTCACCGCGTTTTACAATACCGCTGCTAATTCAGCAAACTTTGAATATCACGTTGAACGATTAACAATTCTCCGAGGCAAGCACACAGGCCGAAACGCGGGGTTCTTCAATTTCTGGCTAACTACCTCCGCGCTCGTGAAGTAAGAACAGCACACACAGCACACTTCGAACTCGTTTCCTTTCTATTTAACTCAGAATACTTCCGCTGATAATTTGAATCCTTGCGCGTTCTACTAAAATTTACATACTCTGGCATTGGCAGTTCCAGGGGAAAGTAAGGCTTGACAGGAAAGATAGTTTAAACTTAAAATAAATGTTAGTTAAAATAAATATAAACCCTACAACTTCACCAACAACTGGATTCTGGGAATGAGAAAATATTTCTGAACCTTTCTGTGCACTAAGCGAGTCAGTATATGTATAAATTTTCTTTGGCATAACTTACATATACAAAAGCCTAATATACCGAAAGCGCAAAAAATACCGCAGTTAATTCAGAGACGATATTTAGCATGAAACTATTAGTAAAGTAAATAAAAGAAAGCTATTTTATATACAAACTGGTTATAATGATAAACGTTTCTCTTTAGCTTGAGGAATCTTATATACCAATTTTTTTCCTGAGATTTCATTCATTCTCCAAATTTCTTTATAGTATTTTTGTACATTATTAGGAATCTTTGAGTCCGTTGAATAGAAAAGACATCCGCGAACATGTTTTATTGTATTCTTTCCCATTTCAGCATCTGACACGCTACTTGCTTCGTTATCATGACAACATAACCCCGTAAATCAAAGTCAGTAGGCACATTACTTGCTACATGCGTAGATGAATCAACATCGTTAGATTCATAATTTGAAAACTGGTAGATTTGTGAAATTTTATTCCACCCTTCGACTGTATCGATTCTATGATAACGGACAGATCGCTTTACATTGCCCTTTCTGATACAAATATTAATTTCTTCTTAAAGCAATAGTAGACAACTTTTGATGCTAGCTCCTGCTACGAATTTAAAATTAAATATATGGCATCAAGAACATTGTGTCTAAAACGTCAGATTTTGAAAATTCGTTTCCAAATCTTACTAAATATTCTACAAATATAATTTCACCTAATAGTTTTCCAACTTCTTTTATATGATCAAATTTTCTCATACTCAGGATCTGCAACTTATTTATACATTTTATCGGAAAAAAAAGTAAACTATTTTACCCTAGCATTTAAAGTGAGACTAGTACTAAGAAGTACATGAAAGGGATTGTATGCAGTTTAAATATAATCGTAAATTTGTCTTCTTCCTTTAGGAAAAT